CTCTGTCTCCCGAATACTGGGGTTACAGGCATGCTCCAGTGCTGCCTGGCCCATCTCTACCTAATTTTCAAAAGACATGATCTCTCTGTCTCTCCCTGAACCTGGAACTTACTGATTCCACTAAACTTGCTGGCAATGAACTTGCATTGGGGTTTAGCATGCCCGCCATGCTTGAGTTTCATGTGGGTACTGTGGATCTGAACTCAGACCTTCATGGTTGCATGGCAGACACTTTGCTGAGTGAGTGACTGTGGCCTTGGTTTGCATTTTTCCCCAGATGGCTGATGATGCTCAGCCCTGGATGATACTGCCCACCCTGTTAAGTCTAAGAAGCTTCAGCCCTGGATGATACAGCCTACTGTGGTTTAATAGGGACCAGGAAAAACAAATAGGTTGAAAAGCTGTTTATTCGGGGAGAAATAACTTACAACAGAGACAGATGAACAGCAGGTTCCTGGTCCCAAGGATGCCTCCAGATGCTCTTCTGTCCCCGTGCTGCATCTACCCCCATGCTGCAAGCAAGAGAGTGCTCCTGGGGGACCCTCCTCAGACCTAGATCCCCTGTCCCCATCCCCCAATGGGCGTGGTCAGTGCCACAGGCGCTGACAAAGTGAATATCTCACTACAGCCACCCTCCATATTAAGTCCAAGAAGTTTCCAACAGCTGTTTCTCTACACACACGTAGCCCTACCGAAGAAATGCATTCTGTTTAATATATCAAATAATATGTGGCCTGGAGAGATGGCTCAGGGGTTAAGAGCACTTTCTACTCTTCTAGAAGACCCTGGTTTGATTTGCAGGACCCACATCAAGCATCCCACAACCACCTGTAGCTTCCGTTCCAGGAGATTCAACACCCGATTCCTAGCCCCTGCAGGTACCAGGTAAACTCGTGGTGCACATACTCATAAAAGGAAAGCAAACAAATCTTTAAAAGGAAATAAGGTCAGCAAGATGCCTCAGCGAGTAAATGTCCTTGCTTCCAACCCTTACACAAGTCCTCTCCCTGGAAGCCACATGTTTATCCTCTGATCCTCAAATGCAGCTTGGCTGTCTGGACACAGGAGTCGGCATGACCGTAGCAATGGTGACTGAAAGTCTGGGAGGAAGACACACTGGCTGATTAGGACTGAGAGGCTGGAATGCTACAGGCCTGATTGTGAACTATGCAGCGCCTTCTTGACCTCTTAATAGCCATTGTCTAACTACCTCTGAATGGGACCTAACATCTCTGTGACTATAATGTAAATCCTTAGGAGCACACAGAGAGATCTCTAGCTTTCACCAGCCAAAAGGTGAGGGACAAATGCCCTCAGGTAGTACCTGGGACAGTCCTGCCTGGCTGTGACCTTCCTACCAGATGTTTCCATTCAAATAGTGTAGGGGTTTTGTTTTTGTTTTTACGAGACAGGGTTTCTTTGTGTAGCCTTGGCTATCCTGGAACTTACTCTATTGGCTGGGCTGGCCTCAAACTCACTGAGATCCACCTGCCTCAGCCTCCTTACTACCAAGATTACGAGATTATGGGCGTGTGATACCACTGCCTGACTGAGTTAGTTTGTTTGAGAGGACTTTTTTTGTTTGTTTTGGTTTTTTGAGACAGTTTTTCTATGGCTTTTGAAGCTGTCCTGGAACTATCTCTTGTAGACCAGGCTGGCCTCGAACTCACAGAGATCTGCCTGCCTCTGCCTTCCGAGTGCTGGGACTAAAGGTGTGCCCTACCAATGCCCAGCCATTGAGGAGGCTTTTGATTGCTAAACCATACTGAATCTTTTTCTGTCCTGTCAGCCAGCTCCTAAATATTGACATGGAAACTTCCTATTGATTATGAAAGCTCGGACTGTAGCTTAGTCTTATCCTAACTAGCTCTTATAACTTAAAACTAACCACTTTATATTAATCTGTGTTCTATCAAGTGTCGTTACCTCTCTTCCATCTTGCACCTCCTGTTTCCTCTCCATGTCTCCTGGCCTCTCTTGGAATCTCCCAGGCCTTGAATCATCTCCTACTTCCTCTGTCTTTCTGCCTGGAAGTCCTGACTATACCCCTGCCTTGGCTGTTCAGCTCTTTATTACACCAATCACAGCAACACACCTTCACACAGCGTACAAACATCCCACAACAAACCTTGAGCCCGTATTCGGATGTCTCCAATGCAGTAAACATAAAAAAAGACGGTGAGGGCCAGAGGGTGGCCCAGCTGGCAAATGAGGGGTTCCAGTAGGCCGGAGCATGGCAAACACGGCTCTGGCGGATCCTGCCTCCCCATCCTCTCTTCCTTGCTAAACTGTTAGGTTATATCACTAAAGCTAGCCTATTCCCTTATTTGGGCACTTCCTCCTGAGACTAACCGCTAAGGTCCAGCTATCAAAATCCTGAAGTCCAGTGTTATGGGAAATTTGTACACGGTGTAAAGATGTCGACACGTGCACCAAACCCAGGTCATTGACAAAGAGTCAGACCCTTTGGGATGTAGGCTTGGATCACATCACCAGACAAAATACCAAGGTCTGCCGAGGTGAGAGCAAAAGGACCCTAAAATGGGGATCATTCAGACGGCCACCTGGGGAAGGAGAGACAGTACTGGAAATATAGACCCAGCAGCGGAAAGGAACATACAAAGATAAGTAAGGGAAACTTCAGGGGGCCGCTGGACACTTCTGAGTCCAAAGGAGAGCTACACATTTGAGGACAATTTTGTGGTCGTCCCTCGGGTAGCGTAGCCCAGCCTAGCACGCAGGTGAGAACATGGGCAGTGCAGACAGACAGACAGACAGACAGACGGCAGGTGAGAACATGGGCAGTGCAGACAGACAGACAGATGGCAGGTGAGAACAGGCAGTGCAGACAGACAGACAGCAGGTGAGAACATGGGCAGTGCAGACAGACAGACAGTAGGTCAGAACATGGGCAGTGCAGACAGACAGACAGACAGCAGGTGAGAACATGGGCAGTGCAGACAGACAGACAGCAGGTCAGAACATGGGCAGTGCAGACAGACAGACAGCAGGTCAGAACGGGCAGGGCTCACTGACCCAAGGGGTCCTCTGATAAGGAAGGGATAACTCAGAATCCACACTTGTTGACTCAAAACTAGCAGGTGACATTCCACTTTCAAGTCACCAGGCTGAAGGGCTGGTCTAAAAACTATGTCCCCGCCTCACCTAGAAGCAGGTGCCTGGTGTAAGGCAGATTGACACACAGCGCCCATTCAGACTGAACAATGGTTGTCAGGTGGGGTCTCCTGGCAGGGCTAACTAGCTGCAGCAACCTCAGAGAAGCCACTTGGACCACATCCTTCAACATTACGTTTCTTTTTCTTCTTGGTTTCAGCCCTGCTCCAATCAACCCTCAGCAGCACTTTCCGCTCGGCTTCAATAGATAGATATTGCACCCAAAACTTGGTGAAGATGTGGTCCTGGCTAGAAATTTCTGGTTCCTTCCAGGCTTGTGTGGATCCCTGCAGCCCACCATGAAGTAGATACATCAAGTCCTTCTGATTTCACGCCAAACCTTGTCCATCTACTTAACACAGTCCTGGAAAGGAGCAGGCCCCAAAGTGAGTATGGAGTTGAGACATGAGATCTAACTTATTTATCACTCGATACTTGGCAGGAATATAATTAACACTTAACCCTAAATTTCCTCTTCATTTAAATTTTGTTGTGTTTTGTTTTTTTGAGACATAGTTTCTCTGTGTAACGGCTCTGGCTGTCCTGGAACTCACTCTGTAGACCAGGCTGGTCTTGAACTCACAGAGCTCCGCCTGCCTCTGCCTCCTGAGTGCTGGGTTAAGGTGTGTGTCACTAGCACTCCAGCCATTTTAAAAATTATTACAGGTTATGGGGGCTGGACAGGCTCAGTGGTTTTGAGCACCGGCTGTTCTTCCAGAGGACCCAGGTTCAATTCCCAGCACCCACAGTGGCTCACAAGCATCTGTGACTCCAGTTCCAAAGGGTTCAGCACCCTTTTCTGGCCTCTGTATGCACCAGACACATATGTAGCACACAGTCATACTTACAGATAAAACACTTATACATATTTCTAAAAAAAAAAAATGTATTACCATCACAACCTGCCAGTGGTCATTGCCAAGGAATGAAGCTGAATTTGAGATTGGACAGAACCAGAGGGCTCTAGGCTAATGCCTTTACCAGAATTCAGTGAAACTTTGATTTCAGAGAAACAGTGACGTACCCGCTATTTCTCCTCGCTATCACCAGATGTGCTCAGGATGCAGAAGGTCTCATGGTGAAATGGAGGCTGTGTTCACAATGCCTTGAACACAATAAGCTGCATTGCTGAGGAGGAAGTAAACAGTTCTATGCGAACCGAGTCCCAACAGCAGGGTAGTGTCAAACTACATGTAGGCTACATGTTATGCTTATGCATTTACACATGCTGAGGCACATGCACACGATGGCAAATGGAACACATGAACAAATGGAAGTCAGAGGACCATTTCCAGGAGTCGGTTCCTTCCTTCCGCTATGTAGCTGCTAGGGATAGAACTCAGGACGTTAGTCATGCTAGCAAGCGCTTTTTACCTGCTGAGCCATCTCTACAAACCCCATTCCCTCTTCTCGACAACACATCCTCTCCTGTTCACCTGGGAACAGGGAGAAAGCAGGGGCTCCGCAGAATGGAACCCTTGTTTGTCATTTTTCTTGAGATGGCTAAAAGCAGGGGCAAGAGAAAATTTGGACGGAAAAGGTTAAGAGGTCAGGCAGTGGTGGTGCACACCTTTAATCCCAGCACTCGGGAGGCAGAGGCAGGCGGAGCTCTGAGTTTGAGGCCAGCCTGGTCTGCAGAGCGAGTTCCAGGTCAGTCGGGGGTACACAGAGAGACTCTGTCATGAAAAACAAACAAAAAAGAATGAAAAAGAAAAGAAAAAGGAGGGAGGGAGAGAGAGAAGAAAGGAAGAACAAAGGAAAGAAAGACAGACAGAAAGAAAGAAAGGAAAAGGTTTACTGCTGCTCACCCCCTTCCGCAGCTGCTCCTGGCACCATGCGCGGTTGCTTGTGGAGATGCGTGGGAGTCATGGCATCCTTACTCATCCTGGGATTCTTCATTAGAGTCAGTGAAGCAGCCCGTGCGAAGCATAGCACAACACTGGTGAGTACTGTGGCTAGAGGAACCTCCACCTTCACAGGAGAGCGTTAAAGCCCCTGGGCACACTGTGGGAACGGACAGGAGGAGGGGATGGCCCACAGGACATGGGCGATGAGCACCTGTCTGCTGTCACCTCCTCGCCCGCCACACGCCACACCTGCCGTTTCTTCCCCTTTCTCCTATGAGAAACTGGAAGTGACTCCCCGGTGTAACCCTCAGCGCACAGACAAGGCAGCTGAGGCTTTGGACAGCAGAGCTGTGTGCAGTGAGACTAAGCAAGTAAAGGGACTTTCAGGCTGAGGCAGCATCGGGAAGATGTTAAAGACAGGGCCAGGCTTTCTTTCAGAGCTCACTAGAGGCCTAAGCCAAGTCAGACAATGTCTGCTAGATTGACCAAGATGAAGCAATGACACATGGGAATTGGCTTGGCGGACAGGCCTTCACTCCACAGGATTCCAGGGCCATATGGCTGTGGCTGGAAAGTTCTGGAAGGTGTGGCTCTTGACCAGGAGGGAGAGCAGAAAGCTGAGCCCTAACAGATTACCTGAAATGGATCCCAGGGTCATCCAGTCTGCCCTAGAGAGCATGTGCCAGCTGTGTCCCCAAGATTCTAAGACTCACCACTGTGGCTAGCTAATACTGTATCATCTTGTATTCAGAGTGAAAAGATGAGAATAATACAGCGGGTAGCTCAGGAGCAAATCAGCTCTGAAATGAAGAACCATCTGAAATACTTCACAAAGATGCAGAAAAATCCCCATGCACTCCAGGATGCCAACTACACACTTCTGGCTGGAACTTCTCTCCAGGGAAAGTGTGAGTGTGTGGGAGGAGCCATTGGAATTGGAAACAAATGGGCCAGGCAAGGACTTCCATCAGAAAAGGGGAGTGGGGTCTAAAGGGCTGGGCTGGCAGCCAGTGTGAGGGGCTTTGGGTGATGGCCGGCTAGGACAGGTTCCCACTGGGGTTCGTCTTCCTCCCACCTGATCCCCTGGGTGTCCAGCAGGACCAAGGGGCCAGAGTAACTCTGGGGGGGGGGAGCTGTGGTCATTCCCACTCATGCCAGGCTTCTAGGGAAGGGAAGATGGAGGAAGAAGGTCCAGGGAGACTTGGGACAGGGGCGCCGGGAAAAGTGGGTAATCAAAACAAGAAGGTAGTCTGGCCATTCAAATGCACAGCCCAGTGGGCTGGACTGGTCAGCCGTGAGGGTTTAAAAGGACTTGATGCTCTAGTCCAGGACTGGGGTAGTCCACAATAGCCGAGATAACTCTGAAGGTCAAAGGCAGGCCAAGATCATTTGCTTCCATGGCAGCAGCTACATAGTTTCATGGCAAAGAGAGCCTTATCCTCTATGAAGCTTCTCCCATGGCCTTTCAAAGTATTGAGCCAGCAAGTGAGACTCTATACCTCTGAGCGGGTGTTCACCTCCCACAGCCCTCTACTCCCAGGAGAAGAAGATGGGAACTGGCTTGGGAACTGGCATTAAGTGAGGGGTTGGGAAGAAAGCCTTGCTGAAATCGTGAGAGTGTCCCTGTGTCCCTCAGGGATGCTGACGGTGGGGATCTCCTCCATGCAGCGTACCGGTGGGAGCTACCTCCTAGACACCCTGAAGTCCCTGTTCCAAGCCTCCTCAGAACAGGACCTGGAATACATGCTGGTATTGGTCCTCTTATCAGACACTGACCCCAACTGGCTCAACCAAACAGTTGCCAACATTTCAGGTCTCTTCTTGCCACACATTGAATCCGGGAGGCTAGCGGTGGTCCATGGTCTGCTCGGTGACTCCCTAGCAAAGAGCAGAAACTGTACCTCACCCTGCGGAGAGCTTTATTCTAAGCAGAAAACAAGTTTTGTCCTCCTCATGAATTTTGTCAGCAACCTCTCTGAATACTTCCTGTTGCTAGGAGACAATGTGAAGTGTGCCCCCAGGTTTATGTCTAACATCTACTGGGCAGTGTCCGCCTGGAAAGAGCTCCCTTGGGTAGCCCTGGACTTCTCCAGCATGAAGATCTTTGGGAAGGTTTTCCACACCAGGGATCTGCCCCGCCTGGCCTCCTTCCTGCTCCTCTTCCCTGAGGACACCCCCACCCACTTGCTTCTCTCTGAATTCAGTCTTCTCTTGTCTCAGAATGTTCCAATTCACTTCAGCTTCTCCATCTTCTACCCCATGGGTTACTCAGAGGCTGAAGACTCCTGCTTCCCTGTGCCACAAGACAAGGACTTAGGAGAACCAGACAACCCCGTGGCTACTGTCTTCACGGACATGCTCTCGTTTTGGGACACGATTCCACAATACGCCTACGTCCTCAATGATGACTGCTTATGGGTCATCAACCCTATACAAGGTAACTACTTGCTGGTGGTTCTGGACGAGCCACAGAAAGTCATCCGTGTAGCAGTGTTAACAGGCTTTTCTCAGAATAGAATGAACTACTTACAACAGGCACAGGTACTGCTGGGCTATGCCCTCATGGACTACCCCAAACGCTGTGCTCACTATACCTTGGTAGGGCCTTTGGTGAGAGGGCAGTTGGACCAGATGGTATTTTATGAGGAAGATTCCGTGAAGAAGATTAGTTGTATAAAACTGCTGGTGACAGCAGCTCATGACTCCCCCATCAAGATCGTACAGATCAGAGTCTGGACAGAAGTGCAGGAAGAGGAGAGGTAGAGGGCGCCGTGCCATGACGTTTCTGCAAGGGCTGGGTCTGGGAAGAGGAAATAAATACATCAGTTGGCCAAGAATTTCTCCTCCTTGTGGACACAGTGCTTGTGCAATGTGCTTTCCAAAGTGGGGCCCTGTGCTGGCTGGTTCTTGGAACCCTGACACAAGTCTAGAAATATCTGAGAGGAGGGGGCCTCACCTGAGAACGCGCTTCCACAACGCTGACCTTTGGCTTCCACAATGCTGACCTTTGGCTTCCATAACGCTGACCTTTGGCTTCCATAATGCTGACCTTTGGGGCCTTTTCTGAATTAGTGATGTCTCAAACAAACAAACGTGAAGTGTTCCTAAAGAACATCACAGTGCAAACACACACACGCACACACGCACACACACAAAAGCTGTGCTAGGAAGCCAGATGTCATGACCCATGCCTGTAATCACAGCACTTAGGGCATGGAGGCTCAAAAATTCTGTTACCCTAAGTGCATAGTGAGGACTATTGCATGAGACCCTGTCTTTAAAAAAGGCGGGGGGGGGGGGACGAGGGGGGAGCTAGTGTTGGTGGCACATGCCTTTTTAATCCTAGCACTCAGGAGGCAGAGGCAGGTGGATCTCTGTGAGTTCAAGGCCAGCCTGGGCTATAGAAGGAGTTCTAGGACAGCCAGAGATACACAGAGAAACCCTGTCTCAAAAACCAAAATAAAAATAAAAAAGATCTGGACATGGTAGTGCATGCCTTTAATCCCAGTGCTGGGGAGACAGAGTCAGGAGAATCTCGAGAATCTCTGTGAGTTCAAGGCCAGCCTGGCCTACAGAGCTAGTTCCAAGATATCCAGAACTACATAGAAAGACTACTTCAAAAACAAAATAGGAAGAAAGAGAGAGAGAAAGGAAGGCAGAAGGATGATATAGATGTTAATTCTTCAATGAATAAGAGATGAACCTCAATAAAAATGCAAATGAGAGTGTTTTTACCGTCTACTTCTTCATTTAAAACATTTTTTCCTAACAAAATAGTCTAATAGTGCTCTCCTTTCCCTCATCTCCTCCCAGATCCGATTTCCCCACCACCCAAGCCATCCAACTCTACGCCTTCCTTCTCTCTCTTAGAAAACAAGGAGCCAAGCCAGGTGGTGGTGGCATACGCCTTTAATCCCAGCAGTAGGGAGGCAGAGGCAGGCGGAGAATATTTGTACACTGAAGATGTGTCTAAGCTAAGGCACCTTCTGATTGGTTTAATAAAGAGCTGAATGGCCAATAGCTAGGCAGGAGAGAATAGGCGGGACTTCTGGGAGAGAGGGGCGGAGAGACACCAGGGAGCTGAGAAACGTAAAAGCCTATGGCAGAGTGTAGATTGCTAGGAGCAGGGTATATGAGTTACAAGAGCTAGGTGGGGACACGCCTAAAGTCCAAGCTCTCATAATCAACGAGTCCCCGTGTCATTATTTCCCGGCTGGCGATCCAAGAAAGTCTGACAAGAAAGCTTGCTACAGATCTCTGAGTTCAAGGCCAGCGTGGTCCACAGAGCAAATTCCAGGACAGCCAGCGCAACACAGAAAAAACCCCTGTCTCCAAAAACCAAAAACCAACCATACAAACAAAAAGATCAAACAAAGCCATTATGAAACAAAACATCTCCAAAAGTGCCACTGAGTTTGTGTTGGCCATGGGGCCTCCCTCGGGACTGCAGTGAAGAAAACCGATTGTTTCCTTTTTGAATGGTTGTTAAATGGAGACGGCTTCCGGGAAGGGAAGGGAGTCCCTGCTCACTCTCCCTCTCAGCGCAGGGACCCCATCTGTCTTAGATGGGTCCCTAGGTGTCATCCGTGCCCTCCAGCTTTACAGTCTTCCCTCCTCTTTGTCTGCTGTTCTTAAACTTGCTCCAAAGCTGCAGAAATGATGACTGCTTTTAGTCAATTGCTTTTCACTGCAGTGAGTTTTCTCCTTTGCATTAGAAAAAGAACGGTGGGCCAGGCGTGGTGGCGCAAACCTTTGATCCCAGCACTTGGGAGGCAGAGCCAGGAGCGTCTGTGTAAACTCTGTCTACATAGTGAGTTGCAGAATGCTAGGCCAACCAGGGTTACATAGTGAGGTCCCGTCTCAAAAATAGATAACAAACAGTACACTTACATTATCTATCTTTTTTTTTTTTTTTTTTTTTTTGGAGACAATATCTGACTGTGTATCCCAGGAAGGCTATGTAAACCTGTCTAGCTTTG